AGCGGCTCCTGCAGGTGCTCGGGGACGTAGAAGTCCTCGGGTCTTGTGACGGAGAAGGAGGTCTGGATGAGGACCGACTCGTCAGATGGTCGGGCGTCTTCCTCCGGTTCTCTTGTCTCCCGGGCGTCACGACGGGGAGCATCGTTCCGCCGGTACTGGGCGAGCCTCCCTCCCTTGATGAGGGTTTCGATGGCGTCCTTGAGGTGAACGCAGTCTTCAGTCAGATGACCATGGCTCTTATGGTACTGACAGTACTTGCTCTTGTCTGCTCCGGGCTTGGCGGGGGCAGGTCGGGGGCGTTTGACGCTGCCGTCTTTAAAATCCGTGCTGGCACACTCCGCCAAAATACGCTCGTGGGAAGCTGTGAGCGGAGTGTACTCGGTAAAACGCCCCGAGGGTCCTCTTTGTTCTCGGACTTCTCGGGGTCTGTCCTTTTTTCTTTTCTCCCCGGCTCGTCGAGGAGGGGCGGCTTCCTGGCGCGGGTTGCTGCTGGATCCGCGAGTTCTGGGGTCCCGGGCTCTGTTGGCCGCCTCCCTTTCCTCGTAATCCATATACGCCCGAGCCTTCTCGAGGAGGGCATCGAATGTTCGGGGCGGTTCGATGCCCACCGCCTTTCTGAATTCTGTGCCGGGGAGGAGTCCTCTCTCCAGTAGGTACCTCTTCATGTGGTCCGCGCAGGGGACCTGTATGGCTTCGCGATTAAAGCGATTAATAAATTCTCTCAAGGTTTCATCCTGTCTCTGGATGATGGCCTCGAGAGCCGCCTCGGTCTTTAGGTGTCGCCGAGACGCGGTGAACGAACTTATGAATTGGTTCTTCAGGTTTCGCCACGAGGTGATTGATCCCGGGGCGAGGCCTTTATACCAATCCATTGTTGCCTTTCTAAGGATCATGGGGAACAACCGGCATTTGATGGGTCCCCCGACGTTGTGGTAGTGCAGCATAGCCTCGAACCTGTCTATGTGGTCGACTGGGTCCGCGACTCCGTCGTATTCCTTCAGATGTGGAGGCTTCTCCATGCCCGGGGGAATGGGCGCCTCCATGATGGCTTGTGACAGGGGACCGCGGGGGTCGTCCTCGTCACTTTGCTCCAGGGACAGGGATGGAGACTTGTAATATTGTCGCGCCCGACGGTCCTGGTCGTGCTGGGCATCCCTCGAGCGTGGTGCTCGTTGGTCGATTCTTCTGTGCCTGTCTCCGGAGTGTCTTCTTTCTTGCCGTATGGGGCCATGGTTGCGCCCTCCGGCATCAATGGCGGGTTGCCTCTCCAAAGGGGGTCATCTCCCCGAGGGTCGGGGAGACGGGCTTCGGGAGGCGTCTCTGTATTGTCTCCGCGGGGGAGACGGGAGATGTGCCTCTGTCACTCGAGGAGGTGGAGTCTGGGGCCTCCTGTGTCTCCTCGCGGGCCTTCGATCGTCTTCTAGTGCCCTCAATCTTTCCCCCTGGGTGAAGATGAGGTAATTCGTCTGATTGATCGCCGCGAATAGTGCGCGGGTTGTGGCATCTGCCCCGACGGGGATAGGGACTTCCTGAAATTGGGCAGCTCGATGGCTTATGGGAGTTGTGTTGTCTTCTTCGAGCGGCGAAGGGACTGAAGAGGATGATGCAGTAACTCCGTCGCGGTGGACTGAGGCCCCGGGGTTGGCGCCCCCGGGGAGTGTGTTATGACCGGGGTTACCGGTGTTGTCGGAGAGTCTATTTTTATCTGCGAGGCCGTTGGTGATGTCGACGACGCGGACGTTTTGGTCATCCCGAACTTGGTCAGCCATGACGGTAGGAATTGATATTGAGCTTTGGTCTTCGAGGTTTTGCAAGACGGGGAAGCTAGTTTCCCACAGACGGCGCCACTGATCTTACCTGATCAGACTTAGACCGTCACGACTGGCTCCGAGCGGAAGTTGAGTGAGATGGGGGGGGGGTACCTGCAAGGCACTCCGATGCTAAAGTGAGTGATGGCACGAGCAGGCAAAAAGTGTATGTATGAGTAAGAGAATGAATACCTGACCCTGTAGGAACAGAGGGTATTTATAGCCCCCAACGCGGGGCCAAGGTCCCTTCATTGGGCCGACTAGAACTGGCCCAATAAAGGAACTGCCAGGTTCTACGTGTGTAGTGGGGACTCGCACGTGGTCTCCTTCCTGGTGATGCTCTGCGAGAAATGAGGAGGGACGAGGACGCGGTCTTTCCGGAGTTCAGGTGATTTGGTAACAGTCAGAGTCTGCCATACGAGGAGGGTGCTCGAGCTGGAGTTCACGTGGTCGAGGACACCATGTTCGCGGGCAACGGCGGGCACGGCTGCAGTTTCTGGTCGGCGTGCTGGCTGGAATCCTCGGGCCCGCGCTCCTTGAAGAGTTGTTTGGATTGGGTTTTCGTTCTTGCTCTTGGGCCAGGGCAGACCCAGTCCAGAACAACTACATATCCTTTTGTGATTAGCAGAGTAATTGATCCCATTTATTAAACTTTAAAAGATCATGGTCAATCCTTTGATTCCTCGCAACTGCCCCATATTTGAACATCTAGTACTCGACTCCATATTTGAACCTATGAAGCAGCGGATCCAGATTTAACTTTTCTTATATTTGAACATCTTTTTATGTTTTTTTGAGTTTGTAAAATTGTTTATGAGTTAGTGATGATGATAAATTACTTTCTCTAACTTATAATAAAATAATATTAAATAGGAATAGACAACCACTATAACAAAAGATTAATGGTCGTAACTTCCATCACATAAAATTGGAATCCCGGATAGAGGAACACTGAAGCCAATGCCAACCAAAGGTAAAAGGAAGACCCACTTGAGTATAATGAATGAAAAAAGTGATAAAGCGTCTTTCGTCTCATTTTCCGAAAAGCCAGTCGTATCATTCAACTTTAGTTAAGCTAATGATGAAATGGGATCGGAATTTGTCCGTAGATGATGATGTCCACTCCTGGATCGATGCGCTTAACGAACGAGAATGAAGTCTCTAAATTAATTAATTAAGAGTTTCCTTCGTCATTAAGCAACATCCTTTAAGTGAGTAGGGGTGTGCCATACCGCAAACGAATAATATGTACTCCACATCCCAGGCAGATTTAGTGAGACATCTAATAGGCTACCACTTCGCACGGTTCAGAGGGCACTTGAGTCATCCGCCAACGCCCGACTCCGTCTTGACCCCTATATATGTTTTAGGCCAATTCCCCTTTCGTACTACCAAAAAAATGAGATTCTTGTCGAATCCGAGTTTGATGCTCCAACCATTACCAAACTTATACCTATTATGTTTAGTACTTCAGGTACTTCTGTTGCATATAATGTAAATCCTGTAGCGGATCAATTCCAATGAGCCTTTCAAACAAGTACTTTTTGTAATCGACTCTATAGCTTCTTGAATAAACGCTGGTTCTTTGATCAAGTTTTGAATGAATTTCTAGTTAGATCATTCATGCGTTTCAGATATGAAGTCTCATTCGAAGCTTTAGACAAAGGAGCTATTGAGATATTGAGCTTTTATGATAATATCGTATACATTCCAACGATTGACCGAGCGGATAAGTCAACTTAAAAGTGGATTTGTTGTGCGAAGAGTGTGTTATGACCCATGGCCGTCTGCCTGGTCTGGCGGGGACCTCCGTTGTGGGTAAACGGAAAACACGACTCTACGAACCCGAGGAAAGGCAACACAACAGTAGTAGGGGCGTGAAGACTGAAGCTTTTTGTAGTGCTAGCAGGAATTCAAGTGAATGAATCTCATCGCTTAGTGAGTGAAGTGCTTACGCCTCTTTAGATTAGAGATAGGGGTGCGCTGGCGTTATAATAAAAATAGAAAGGTTAGGGGGATGAGAAAAGCTTGTTGTCTACTTCTCTTCACTGTCCCGTTTTGTAACTTCCCTTCTTTAGTCAGTCTACAAGGTTGTAAAAAGAGAGAGGGACGACTATATAACGGGAGTCGTTTCAGTTGTATGCCATGTATTGTAATGTACCGTACCATATACATCTATTAAGTGAGAGAAAGGTAGCTTCTCTATAAATATATTATTCATTTTTATATTGATAGGGATCTCCGGATTCCCGTCACTACAGATTTATTGTCTCTAACTACATGGTAGTGGACTAGGGAGCGTAATTGCTAGAGCAAAGGAGAATGAAAAGTAATGATTTCAACAAGAGCAGCTGGACAAACTATTATAGTGAGTCATGTGACTACTAGAGTAGAGTTGAGTCAAAATGTATGGTATAACAACCTTTCTGAGCGAGTCTCTGGGAACTCCTCTGATCCTCCATGATGTGGCAAAGGGAGGATATTAGGGAAAGCATCTATCATTATGTCTTTGCAATGTTACTTGGTTCAATTCTATTTGTGACATTTTTTCGTATGTGGGAATCTTTATCTTCTTGCATAGATATCTTCTTGGTAAAAAATCATAAACTTCGTGAGTTTTGGAAAAAATGAACTGGATGATTCCTACAAATTTTTTTTTATGTTTTTCTAAAAATTCGATAAAATCAAGGGCTTTTTGAAAAAAATCATATTTTTTTTCAAAACACTAGTGTTTTAAAAATACTAGTATAAATTGATATAGAATTTTTTAAATGAACTATCAGATTTTTTAAATGATACCGGACTTTTTCAATAAACTACTGGAGATATTTCATTAGTCTATTTTGATGAAATTTTTTGGAATAATGCAACTATGTGGGGTGGCAGATATATAATTTAAGAGTGCATGGATATTTTGAGTGGTCAAAAATATACTGCACTTAAAAGAGAACAAAAATGATAATGATTCATTTCCTAATAGTATATGAACTTGAAGTATAGATCTGGAGTTTAGTAAAACAATCGAGTCCCTTACATATTTGGCACAATAATCACATGTTACACATAAAATCCATGAAAGATTCGAGAATAAAAATAACATAGCACACTAGTAATAATAACAATAATCAAACACCCAAATCCAACAAATGAAAGAATGAATGTTGTTGTGAGTTATGAAACTGGAAAAGTTAATCATGGCCAATCCTTCAGTTCCTCTTCACTCTGAACCTTACCACTCCTCATACCAGCAACACCATCTCCATCATCCGAATAACACTTCAAGAAAAACGCCAACGTCAAAACAACCCACTCCAACAAAAATATCACCCCAGCAAGTCCACCACACAGTTTCAGTATAACACAAGCATCTTCTTCCCTCACATACGACTTCAACTCCGCAAGAAAATCCTCAGTTCTAGTAAAAACCATGACAGAAACCGAGCCTTGAAAAATGGCAGTTAACACAGTGACAACCATGTGTGCAGAGTACCAGCGAGTGATGGTGGTTAGGGAGGACGAGGATGAGGCCGAGGCGGAAACAGCTCCGGCGATTGTGAATGCGTGGAGGAGGATCAAGAAGAAGCCGCAGATTGAAGGGAAGAGGTTTAGGGAGAGAGTGAGGAAGATGCAACTAGAGGATAATGATAAGAGGATGTAGTTGCAGAACAAGAAGGCTTTGTGAATGTTGTATTGCTTTTGTTGATTCTTCATTGTCTCTACTTCTCTTTCTTATTTCCAAATTGTAATAATGTTAACTATGATAGTAACATTTATGGGTATGGTATGTTAATAAATATTAGATTCAATGTAACGGTCTTATATTCATTATTACTTCACTTTTCTGCTTTTGCAATTTGATTTGTTTTGGGATATATGACCGTTGAGAAAGGAAACAAACAAACAAAATAAACTTAACGGATAAGAAACATTTTGGTTGATTTAACATTTTTAAAGTGTATTAAAAATCTATTACTTGATTAAAAAATGTTAATCTTTATGCTTTAGTAGAAATAATTAAATTTTACTTAATAATCATGACAAATTGTAGCTAGACTATCTATTTTTACGTGGAAAAAAAAATCCCTCTAACGTCTTTTATAGGATAAAGTTTGTTTTCTAGATACATCAAATAATTAATATTTTTAAATAACTTAAAGAATAAATACATTATTTATTTAATGAATTTAAACAGTTAAATTTAGAAAATATAAATATACATTGTCGATGCAAAAGTACATCACAATCAATTAAATAAATAATTTTTAAAAAGTCAAATGTTTTTAATGGTGATATTTAATATCGTTAGGTATTGTAATTAATTTTACACTGTATATACAAATTAAAATCTAAAACAAATATGTTAGTTTCATTTTAGCAAAAATATTATTCTCTCCATTTTAAAATAATTGTTATAATTGATATTTTCATCCAGATTAAAAAATTGTGATAAATAAAAGAGAATACTAATTTTACTAAATTATTTTTATTAATTATTTATGTATTTAAATTAGAATTAATATTAAATGAGAAAACAATAAAATAAAAGTATTTATTAGATGATATAATTGAAAGATTAAAAATAAAATTACATTGATAATATAAAATGATAAATATTTTAAAATAAATAATTTTTTAAACTCGACAATTATTTTGGAGAAGTAGTTGTTAAGGACCATATTATTAAATAAAAATATGTAAACCACCATGGTACTTAATCAATTCTAGCCGGGTAAAAATCGATTGAAAATTCATATTGATAGAACTTAATATAGATAATCAATTAAAATAACTAATCTTTTTGAAAAAGGAAATCAATACAGAGGTCATTATTAATGGAGAATAAGTCTATCTACCTCCATTCATATCGATAGGACACATGATAGATAAACAATTAAAATAATTAATCTTTTGAAAAAGGAAATCAGTTTACGGATGGAGGATAAGTCTATCTACCATCATTCACATTGATAGGATTTAATATAGATAAACAATTAAAATAATTAATCTTTTGAAAAAGGAAATCAGTTCACAGATGGAGGATAAGTCTATCTCCCTCCATTCATATTGATAGGACTTAATGTATATAATCAATTAAAATAATTAATCTTTTGAAAAAAGAAATCAGTTCACGGATGGAGGATAAGTTTATCTCCCTCCATTCATATTGATAGGACTTAATGTAGATAAACAATTAAAATAATTAATTTTTTGAAAAAGGAAATCAGTTCACAGATAGAGGATAAGTCTATCTCCCTCCATTCATATTGATAGGACTTAATGTAGATAATCAATTAAAATAATTAATCTTTTGAAAAAGGAAATCAGTTCACAGATGGAGGATAAGTCTATCTCCCTCCATTCATATTGATAGGACTTAATGTAGATAATCAATTAAAATGATTAATCTTTTGAAAAAGGAAATCAGTTCAGGGATGGAGGATAAGTCTATCTACCTTCATTCATATTGATAGGATTTAATGTAGATAATCAACTAAAATAACTAATCTTTTGAAAAAGAAAATCAGTACACATACCATTACAAATAAAGGATAAGTATATCTCCCTCCATTCATATTGATAGGACTTAATATAGATAATCAATTAAAATAATTAATCTTTTGAAAAAGGAAATCAGTTCACAGATGAAGGATAAGTCTATCTCCCTCCATTCATATTCATAGGACTTAATATAGATAAACAATTAAAATAATTAATCTTTTGAAAAAGGAAATCAGTTCACAGATGGAGGATAACTCTATCTCCCTCCATTCATATTGATAGGACTTAATGTAGATAATTAATTAAAATAATTAATCTTTTGAAAAAGGAAATCAGTTCACAGATGGAGTATAAGTCTATCTCCCTTCATTCATATTGATAGGACTTAATGTAGATAATCAATTAAAATGATTAATCTTTTGAAAAAGGAAATCAGTTCAGGGATGGAGGATAAGTCTATCTACCTTCATTCATATTGATAGGATTTAATGTAGATAATCAACTAAAATAACTAATCTTTTGAAAAAGAAAATCATTACACAGACCATTACAAATAAAGGATAAGTCTATCTCCCTCCATTCATAGAATTTTTTATATTAATAACCATGTATTAAAATAATATTTCGCAAATAACCGGGTTTCAGAAAAAATTACGCAAATAACCATGTTTCAGATGACTCTCCAAAGGAGGAGCCATCTGAAATGGCGCATGCACCTATATTTTAAGGGGAGGCGCCATCTCACTTGGCGCCTATGTGCTTAGGGCATGCCCTAAGCCAAGTGAAATGGCGCCTAGGTGTTAATTTAGGGCAAAATGTGATTTTTTCTTGTCCGGTGCGTTGCGTGTTTGATAGAGGATCAACAAAATAGACTTTTTATTAAAAAAAAAATAATTACATCCAACTGTATTACATTAAAATAACAGATAAAAAAACAGAAAAAAAACGGATAAAAAAATATAGGAAAAAAAAAAAGATAAATCAGTGATCCCCCGGAACCCGGTAATGACCCCCAGTTCCGCATCCCCGTCCTCGCCTTTCTCGTGCTGGGTGTCGTCGTGTTTCCTGCTGCGGCAAGGTCGATGGCCCAACGAAGTCAATGCGGTCCGGATCCATAAAATTAGTCAGATCTCCATATCTAGAAGATCCGCTTTGGTACAGTCAGTTACCCATACCCTCAAAGTTTGGTCGTGTTGGCGGTGGGTGGGGTTCCATAGTGGGTCTGTATCATTGATCGTCTGAGTACGGTGGGTAGAAAGGAAATGGATCTTGGGGTGTTTGGTATTGAGGATGTTGGGTGGTTTGGTGATATTGTGGTTGATGGTAGGTTGGGTCAGTTTGTTCGTAATCTTCCGACATTCCCATATCAGGGCTAAGGCTGGATGTTGAGGGGCCCATATTGGGATATGCGGAAGACTGAAATTGTATGTGGGGTATGCGGGTGTGCTGGTATTGGGATTGGTATTGTGGTTGGGTGTGAGGCATATCAGGGTATTGGTAGTGTGGTGGTGATTGTGGTTGGTTGTGTGGCATTTGAGTGTAGTTGTGTTGTGGTGGGGACTGTGGTTGGGTGTTTGTGGGTCTGTTTCTTCTTGGGGGTTGGTGGGAGGTTGATGGGTTTTGGGTTTGTTGATGTGGAAACGAGGGTTGTGCCCATTGTGTGCGTGGGTCAACCAAGTACCTTGGATGAGACACGTGCATCTCAGGGTTACTAACCGACCTGTACCAAGACAAATATTGATCCGTGTGTCGCATATTACCTTGATTAAGGAAAACCGGGAATTGCAAGACGTAGCGGTGACGCCTCTGCCACATCTTACACCATTCAGGAGCGAAGTCTTTCCAGTTGGTAAGACGCGTCGACCCTTTTAAGATGCCATGGGGACAAACAAGTTGGATCACTTGGTATCTCCTGATGCATTCCGAATTGCATCTTCACACGGTCGCTGTGGTGCATCTCCATAATGTTGAACCGAATGATTGCAGTCTTCGCGGTCCAAGTTGCTGCATCCTTTGGGTTTGGATCATGGCCCAAACCCAAATATGGTCTCCAGACGAACTGCGATAAAATTTAAATCAGGTTAACGCAAAAGTAATGTATAAATAATTTAAATGAACAAAAGTTAAAAGCTACGACGTACGTCATCCGGGCCTAAGTGATCCAACAGATTGCAGTAGAGTGCGACATTGAATCTTGGATTCTTGCCGTAATCCATACCCCTCACGCAGTACCTAAAGGAAATGAGAAACATTTTATTCTTAGCATATATTTGGGGAAGAGATGAATAGTTATAAATGCTATAACTTGATGACTTACTTTGTTGCGTACGGGAAACCGAAAGTGTTGTTGTTGACGGGGTTTAAGGACTCTATCCTCCACCAACCCCAGGCTTGTAGAAAAAAAGCGCACTCATAAAATGTACATTTTTCCTTGACTACATTTTTGCACAAGGAACTGTATAGGTGGGCTAAAACTGCAGAACCCCAACTATATTTTCTTGTTTTTTCAAAATTTCTTAGTAAATGTAAATACATAAAATTTACACTATTTCCCGTACTTTCGGGAAATAAAAATGTACCAAAAAGTATCATAAGATAAGTTCTGACTTTTACTACCCTGTCATTCTCGGAGGAATTTTCATTTAATTCCAAACTTGCATAATGACTTTTCAGCTCAGTGAGTAGTATTCTCTGACCTCTTGCACCACCACCTTCTACCATATCCCTGCCCAACAGTTCTTCACACTGAGAGTTGGGTTGTTGAACCGACCCGTTCACGGCCTTACCGTCGACAGGGAGACCTAGTAGCATGTACATATCCTCTAGCGTGATGGTACATTCACCTATTGGTAGGTGAAATGTATGGGTCTCTGGTCTCCACCTTTCCAACATTGCAAGAATGAACTTCGAGTCAATGGTGCAGTTGGAGATCTTTATGACATGTCCAAAACCTGTGTATTCCAGATATGGTACGATAAATGGGTCGGGAGCCAGGTAGTTGTGAGAACGGATTCTGAATCTTTTTGTGTCCTGAGTTCATAATGTAACATGTGTAAGATTAAGTAAGAAGAACAACGCATTATCTGAAGTATGAAAAATGTATAACCAAAAAAGAAACTTACAAATGCAGCAATGTTTTCCCTTGTGCCTCTGTGAGTATCGCCCATTGTTAGAAGAGCCATTGTTTAAAATGCTTGAGATTATGAAAGACT